GGTCAGTACTACATTGGCAGGATGTTCATTTTAAGATCCTTTGAAAAAGGTGTTTCATTTTTTTGGTTTTAATTCTGCATCTCCTGCACCTACTGTTCCAGGATTCCAAATGGCAGCTGATGCATCACATCACCACCGTATTCCTCATCGCCTTCTCATACTGTGCCAACTATGTGAGGGTTGGCTTGTTGGTGATGCTGTTGCACGATTCGTCCGACTACATCCTCGAGGTGAAACACAATAGCTGAGTAAAAAGTGGAAGATGAGTCATTGGATTAGATTGTTTTCATTTGTGCATGTCCGCTGCAATGTTTTTGAGATTTATGGAGGCAGAAATGTTCACCAACCAGGTCTTTTGTTTGTACAGTCACTAAGATCACACAAAGACCGTTTGGACATCACAGACTTTCATTTAGTGTAGTGAAGTAGTAACACTAGAAAAACCCTGAAAATACCTCTGTGTCTTCAGGAGTCTGAGATTAAGAGTTTAACTTTCTAGTTTTTCAGAGATGTAATTACTTCCTTGTCTTTTGTTTCATTTGACTGGTAATCCGACCTGTCACAGATAAGATCTGAAAGATTGTTGACATCTCAGAGCTGAGAAAGAATGAAGAGCTAATCTCATTTTAACTAAAGATTTACGTGATTATGTCTGGCCTCCAAAAATATTCATATCAGCATAAAGATGTAGGTTTTGTTCCTGCTGTAAAATCAGAGTAAAATCTGAGCTCTAGGGTCAGCATCAGGAAGCATGTCAAATATTCATTTTAAATGTTATACGTATTTTATTTTTAAATGACTTCAGCTCTCTGACTGCGATTTGCACAGACTGTCATGTAATCACTTTAATTTCAGACTCTCTATGGCTCTATTCAATAAACATTTCCTCTTTTTCATTCATTCTTGTCACTGTGAAGAAGTTTAGCTAATCATCTGCATTTGTAAAAAACCCTCTCGAAACAGCTTCTTTTGGAGAAGTCTGACGATTGGCTCACCTCTAGTGGTGGTGGTGGGGGCTGGTTAGAGTTTTTAATGCTGAGCCAAGAGGGTAGAAGCTGCTTAAACATCAGTCAAATCTCAAACTCAGCAGTGAACACCACGCTGCCTTTCAGTTTCTCATTAAGTAAACAACATTTCAGATTGTTTCAGCAACATTTTCCTGAGAAGTGCTCACCAGCTCTTTGAGCACAGATCTGCAGGGTCAGGGTTTAGTCCACTGATGTATGTTTCCTACGGACTTTTATACTGTATCTATTGAATAAGCCTGAATAAATGACTAAAATATGCTTTTTCCTTCTATTTTTCTTCATAAGTTGGCCAAGATGTTTCACTACGCAGTTTGGAAGAGGACGAGTGAGTCGCTGTTTGTCGTCTTTGCTGTCGTCTTCCTGGTTACAAGACTCGTGGTGCTTCCTTGCAGGTGAGACGCAACGTTTGCTTCAGGCTAATTAATCAGCTGCTTTCAGCTTTTTTTTTTTCAGCTATTTTAAGTATTTTCACGAACTTAAAAATGCAGACGGGATCATTTATGACAACATGAGTTGGTTTAATTTCCTATGTTAGAACTCCAGCAGCCAGTGATACCATGTACAAGGGGGACATATTTTATGTTTAGGCACATAGCTGAAGGATTGTACAGTTGTAATGAGTTGTAGGCAGTCAGATTTATTTCTATGTTGTGTTTGATATATGAACTACACATCACTTTAAATGTGTACATTTGTAAATTTTAAAAACCCTTAAAATGCAGGAGCTTCAGAGGGGCTTTGCTCCACTGTGTCACCACCACCACCATCAGGGTCTTGGCTAAATGGGGCCCTAACCAGATCTCATACACCTGTTTGAAAGGTCCACTTTCTCACAAAAGAACCCCCACACACAGCATCCTGTCACTGACAACTGGGGGTGGGGGTCAGAAAGTCATGTATGAGCATGGCGCTGAAGAAATTTATAATTATTACAGATAAGTACTGATGTCAGAAACAACACCAGTGTATTAAGGGTTTCTTATTATAACATTGTTATGATGTTTGATCTATTATGTGTTAATTGAAATAGGGTAGATGCATGTCCGAATTATTAACAACACATATTTAAAAAAGCTGTAATAACATAAGAGTGAGGTTTGTTTGTCTGAATGCCTGTGATTCAGCCGTAGGCCAGCAGAGGGCGAACTCAGGCACTGAAGATCCTGGACTGTTTTATACGGGAACTTCCTGTTTTTTTATTCAGTGTGTGGTTTTGACTTGTCAGTCCTTGGCATAATAAACCCCACTCCGGAATTCTGGTGTTGTATGACATTTATTTCTTACAGATCATTTTATTTAACATTTGTGTGTACATCTGATTTTCAGCCGAGATTAAAACACGCATTTCTTACAGACCCAGTAAGTGACCCAGTAAGTAATATAGTCATCTTCCACCACCACCCCACCACACACCGCCTTTTTCATTGATGTTATTTTATTTATGTACAGTAATATGAAAAGTAGTAGTAGTAGAGTTTGAGCAGTGTTTATGGTCGTTGTCTTGTTGGAAGATGCAGCCCCGGCTTCAGCAGCTTCAGCTTTGTCACTGATTCCTGGACATTGGTCTCCAGAATCTGCCGATATTGGTTGGAATCCATGCGTCCCTCAACTTTTAACAAGATTCCCAGTCCCTGTACTGGCCACACAGCCCCACAGCATGATGGAACCACCCCCACATTTTACTGTAGGTAGCAGGTGTTTTTCTTGGTTTCTCTGTGTTCTTTTTCCTCCATGCATAACGGCCCTTGTTCTGCCCAAATATCTCTAATTTAGTTTCATCAGTCCACAGCACCTTATTCCAAAATGAAGCTGGCTTGTCCAAATGTGCTTTAGCATACCTCAAGCAGCTCTGTTTGTGATATGGGCGGAGAAAAGCCTTCCTCTGCATCACTCTCCCAAACAGCATCTCCTTGTGTAAAGTGTGCTGAATAGTTGAACAATGCACAATGACTCCATCAGCAGCAAGATGATGTTGTAGGTSTTTGGTGCTGGTCTGTGGGTTGACTCTGACTGTTCTCAACATCCTTCGCTTCTGTTTATTCCAGATTTGTCTTGGTCTGCCACTTCCAGCCCACACTTGAAC